AGGAAAGGTAGTAGTTGGAGGCCCCAAAAGACCCAAGCTCGCTACCTGTTGTCGGGGATCCCACTGTACAAACTCTCCTATACTTGACTGTGTTCTTACCGTATATTAATGGTCAGTGAGCTACTGGGTTTATATTTGAGCATGGGTCTCAACAATCCCGTGGGTGGATTTTTCATGCCTAGTAGTGTCAACTCCTGGCTATCCCAGTACTGATTTGAGAAATGATTCGGGTCCGCATGCATAAACATTTTAGAAAACATATTAGAATAATGCATCATTAACATCAATCATTTGGAATTTGATTGACTTGTAAATGTTTATGATGTTGATTTTAAAATGATGTATGAACTGTAGTTCACCCTCTTGTCTCTCTGTTTTCTTTAATTCTTATGTACTTGCGGTACTCGTGGGACCTAATCGATCATTGTTTAAAAAGAGGGGAGGTGACACATATTTCACACCCGATGAATATGACACTCATACTCATTAGCTAAAAGCCACAATGATGGCAATATGTATTGGGATAAACATATTCAATCTTTTATAAGTCGTCCTTTGTGGTACATAGACCTATACGGTATTAGCTAGTAGTCACTCTTATGTGTAGTTTGCTGCTCTGTAGGAAGTTATCTCAATGTTACCTTTAATATTTTGAAGGAATGTAACTAATATTTTATCTATATGTAATTATGAATGTTTACTTTTAGTACTTTCTAAAATGCAAGAATGGATTATTGAAAATTTACATGTTAAAGTTTATTTTTACTATTAATGCATTGGTTTAATATATTAATATTATGTATAAGGGAAAAATTACTATTGGTTAAAAAAAAATTCCACTAAAAATTGTTAATTCTTCTGATTGAGGATTTATAAGGTAGGGTGTTATACCTACAACAACAAGGAGAGTATATACCAATATTGGAGTTGAAGTCCATTCTAATAATGATTTGATTAAAAGTATGTGTTTCATTAAAGGTAAAACTTTAAATGTATTGTATGATTCAGGTGTAACTTATTCATTCATTTCTAATGATTGTGTTCAACACCTGGAATTGCCAATTTCTTTTCAAGACACTAGGTTAATTGTTTCAACTCTCACAAGTAAGTTTGTAATTACCAATAAATTGTAATTACCAATAAAGTTTTCCTATATTGTCATATGTTCATTAAAAATAGAAAATTCCTTGTAAAATTAATTTTTCTAGCTTTATCTTAATTTGATGTAATCTTAGGTATGAATTAGTTATCTTCTAATCAAGTCCTTCTGAATTGTGCAGAAAAATCAGTAATATTTTCAAAATTTGAGGATCTTTTTAATTTCTCTACCAACCCAGTAAGTGAGCCTTTGAAGAATAAAGTTCAAGGATATTTGTTATTATCATCTATGAAAGTAAAAGAGGAAGTCAATTTGAAAAATATAGAAATTGTTCAATTTTTTTTGAAGTTTTTCCTAATGATATTCCTATTTTGCCACCCAATAGAGAGATTGAATTTTCAATAGAATTAATACCCGAAACTAGATCAATTTCTATGACAAGATATAGGATATTACCCTCTGAACTAACAGAACTGAAGAAACAATTGGAAGAATTACTAGAAAGACAATTCATTCGTCCTAATGTATCACCTTGGGGAGCCCCTATTTTGCTAGTTAAGAAGAAATATGGAAGTTTAGGTTGTGTGTAGATTACCGTCAGTTAAATAAATTCATCATAAAGAATAAATACCCTCTTTCTAAAATAGATGATTTGATAATTCAATTAAGAGGAGTTTTTGTATTTTCTAAAATAGATTTAAGATCAAGATAGCACTAAATTAAAGTAAAGGCTGAAGATGTACAAAAAACTACATTTAGAACTAGGTATGGTCATTATGAATACCAAGTGATGTCTTTTGGTGTGACTAATGTCCTTGCAATATTCATGGATTATATGAATAGAATTTTTCGTCCATTTTTAAATCATTTTGTTGCGATTTTTATAGATGATATTCTTATTTATTCTAAGATTTTTAAAGAACATCAAGAACATCTTCAAACTGTTCTTCAGATTTTGACAGAAAAACAATTACATGTTAAATTGTCTAAGTGTGAATTTTGGTTAGAAAAGGTGAAATTCTTGGGCCACGTAATTTCCAAAGCAGGAGTGTTAGTGGATCCAACTAAAGTAGAAGCAATTTTACAATGAGATCTACCAAAAATAATGATTGAGATTCGTAGTTTTCTAGGTCTAACAAGGTATTATAGGAGATTCATTGAAGGATTTTCTAAAATAGTTATGCCTTTAACCCAACCCACTAAGAAAGGTCAAGCTTTTGAATGGACAAAAAAATATGAAAATAGTTTTCAAGAGCTTAAGAAAAGAGTAATCATTTCCCCTGTGTTAGCATTACCTAATCCTGCTGTACACTTTGTGATGCTTCTAAAATGAGATTAGGATATGTTCTTATGAAAAATAGAAGGGTAGTCATATATGCTTCTAGACAATTAAGAACACATGAAAAAAATTATTCAACTCATGATCTAGAACTAGTCACCATTGATTTTGCACTTAAAATATGGAGACATTGTGAATGGTGGTAAGTTTGAGGTTTTTAGTGATCATAAGAGTCTTAAATACTTGTTTGATAAAAAAAAAGTTAAATATGAGACAGAGAAGATGAATGAAAATTTTGAAAGATTGTGATTACAAATGTAGTGGTAGACGCTTTATGTAGAACCTCCTTACATGTTTCTTCATTGATGATTCATGAGATGGGTCTGCTAGAAAAATTCATAGACATGAATTTATCAATTATCATGAGCCCTGATAGAATGAAACTAAACTCAATTCAAATTATTAGTGATTTACAAGGCAATGAGGCTCATATATATAAGTGATGAATTCATTCAAAAGAAAAAGAAGTTGATAGGACAAAAGAATGGAGAAAATTTTGGCATAGATAGGACATAAATTTTGAGATTTAATGGTAAGGTATGTGTACCTAATGATGTAGAGATTAAGAAGTTGATTTTAGATGAAACACATAAGAGAAAATTGAGCATACATCCAGGCATAATAAAAATGTATCAATATTTTAAGATATTTTAAAATTTAAATTTAAATATAAAATCGGGGCGAGAACGGGGTCGGGGTGGAGATTACATTACCCATCCCCGCTCCCACCCCAACCTTTTAAAGCGAGAAAACCCGAACTCGCCCCCATCCCCAGATCAACTCAGATTTTCTCCATCAAACTCAAGGCGGGAACGGATTAGTCCCCACAAATACGAGTTTAATTATCATCCTTACGTTCAAGATACCGAACAAATAACTCATATTACCTGAAATATCCGAGATATTCGGATAAATATCTTGAACCATCTTAAATGCCAATAATAAACAAAATATCTCTTAATTCTTGAGTAATTATGATCACTCCTATTTTATAAAAAATTATATAATCCTTTCCTTAAAATATTTTATCTTTTACTCATCATTTTCACGTGAAACATTATAGAATCTTTTACCCGCTCAACACTAATTCGAAAGGATTAGAATAAACTGGAATGTTCTATTTTATTATTGTCTTAAATAAAAACTTATCTTAATTGTGGATAATTTTATCAGTAATTAATATTTTTTACTCAATTAGGTAATTAATGTTAGTTGTTTCTGTTAATAAATAGAAAATTTTTCTCTTCACAACCCAAATAATTTCCTACAACTAATTATATTAATAAAATATTAATAATATTATTATATTAATTTATTTGGTTATATATTAAATGATTGAGGTATCAATTAATCGTTCCTCTATTAAATACTATCCATAGAGTTGAGACGGTTTACTGTGTCAACGCGTCCTGGTTTGCCTTACAACATGAATTGTCAAATTAGTGAAAAAATATAATTTTAAAAATAAATAATTAACTTTTATTCTGAATTTTATTTATAAATTTTAATATGTAAGGTAAAATGTCATCTTATCTTTCCCCCACCTCATTCTTGTTTTCTAGAATTCAATCATAGCGTAGTACTTTTCATGTGATTGTCACGATGTTCTTCCCTACAATTCAATAACATTATACTTTTTTCTTGTGAATTGAAAATAATCCTGCAAAAAGAACTAAGTATTTATTTAATAAAATCATGAAATTATAGAGGGAACAATTTAAACATAACTTATTAAAAACAATTTACTATAATTAAACTCAGGTGAGTATTCTCGGGGTGAATATTCAACTTGGCTTTTCTCATAAAAAGATTATGTAATAATAATAATAATAATAATAATAATAATAATAATAATGTTCAAAAATATCTATAACTGAAATATTCTTTCAATATATGATTATTAGTTAATTTCAATTTATAATTATTTTCTCAGCGTTAGTCACTTTCACAAGTAGTTATATTTTTACTTTACCTTTTTTTTCAGTTAAAATCGTTTTTATTTTTTTTAAATTGCCACTTTTTCTCTTAAATATATTTAAAATGTCATGTGTCAGTTCTACCTTCCATACTTTACAGACGAAAGCCCCTGCATCAAACAGCTGCACAACCAAACTTCCAATTAAATAAACATTGAAAATAATAAAAATGAAAAAAAAATAAAGAAAATACCTTGCACCAGACGCAAAGCAACTGGACGAAGGATAACGGAGAGTCAACGGCAGTGACTAAACTACAACACGACGAACGAGTGAAAGAACATTAACGGCGACGGCAACCATAACAAAGTCGACAATTCCATTCGTTAATTGGAATTCTGAAAATCAAAATTTGGCAAATTAGACTGAGTATGTGAATTGAGATTATTAACTTCAGAATTTTTAGGGTTTTTTAATTGAAAAGTAAAATTGTCCAAAATTCTCCTTCCATAGCAATTGTTATGTACAATAACCAATTCTGAGTCCAGCTTCTAATATCTACGCAAAAATCTTCCGGCGATGCAACCGGAGAATCCTTCACCGGCGTGGCGGCGATTCAAAACCTGTAATGAGGGAAAAAAGAAATTCACAGATCTTCAGATTTGGACATGATGGAGAGACGACTAGGTCTCGGTTCGAACGCCGATCGTCGCCTCTGTTGATGCGATGAAGGACGAATCAGCGCGGTAAGGGCGCGTTTAACCCACTCGCCTTCAACGCCTCCAATTCTGACGAGCGAGTTCTTCATCGCGGACCGGCGCATGTTGAGCCGATTCGACGGGAACGAGCCGGCCGACATATGGTGGTTATTGTTTTTGTGGAGACTGCACCGGAACGAACCGGGATGAGTCGTAGGAGAACACATGCATGTTTTCTTCTGAATGGTGACGTGGCGGTTGTGCTTCTTCGCGATGACGTGGCTCGACACGGACCGACTCGGAGAGACAGACCGGTCGAGGGCAAACCGGACGGAGGGAGATGGCGCCGTGCTAAATACGTTGACACGTGTGGGGGAGGTGGAGCGGTGCGGCACGTGCGAGTGAGGCTTGTCGAAGAAACTTGATGAAGGCGAATGAAACGGTGCGTTGGAGGTCGAATAAGAACAGAACTTGGTAGAAAGTGAGAGAGAAGAACGATGCACTGGTCCAATAGATTTTGTTCTCGAAGAACTCGCCATTAAGAAACAAAAGAAGAACAAAGCAAAAAATAAAGAGAAAAAGGGTAGGAATTACTTTTCGTATTCTTCTTGCAAGTCCCCTTTGAGGAGTTGGTTCGGCAAACCTAGCGAGTCTCTGAGGCTTGTCTTATAGTCCTTAGCGCATTGTTCAAACCCGTAATTAGCTTCTCTTTCAGGGACTTTTTCGTAATAGACTAACTTAACCATGGTTAGGTGAGTGTAGTTAACGATGCGAAATCGGAACCGTTAATCTCTACTAGGAGGTTTCCTTGGCACTTCAATGGGTGCCACGTGCGTGGTATTGTTTGTTAAGATTAATGACCTGATGCGATGCTAACAAGAAGTTAATTAACCACGGTCCACGGTGTCTCTTTGAATAATATTCCACAGGAGCAAGAGGCGTTAATGCTTGACCGTGTCGCTACGACGCATAATTAATGGCCTAACTAATTCATCTAATTTTCTAACAAAATACGAATATATACGTATACACGCTACTAGTATATTAAATAAGGTTTGGAATATATATGGTGTGACATATCTCTCTAGACAAGTTGAATATTTATTTATTTGCATAATACCAATTTACTTCTTTTTTTTTTAACGACATTTTTGTGACGAAGGTTTGATGACTAAATGATTAACCCAACTATTTATTTCATCCTAAAATAATTAATAATACTTTTGTTTTATATATACCAGCAGAAACAGTGGTAATGGCACCTGTATGTTTGCGTGTCCTTATTTCACATTTTTATTACGTTAAAGGATTAATGAGTGAAAAAATTATGAATGTCCATATAAAATTCTCAACACGTATAGAAAAAATTACAATTCCGACGAGTAAATAAAATAAATTGAAAGAACAATATTTTTAATCATAAAATAATTTTATGAGCAGTCAAAATTTAGTGTCAAGCAAGACTTACCTGTATATTTTTTTATTTCTGTAAATAAAAAATATATAAGTAGTCAAAATTTATCTCTAGTTTTGCTCTTCATCATCAACCATGGATTTCGAAAGTTTTATCGACATGCTATTATCGCTAGCTATAGCCCTTTTCCCTTAGTTGGGTTGTGTTTGATTTGATAGGTAGGATCCAGCTTCACTCGGCTCTCACACTGTGTCTACACTCAAACAACCCACTTCTATGAACCACCGTGATAGGTGCAACCACCCCATCATATACATGTTCACAACCACCATGAGTGTCCCATCATTGTATACTCGCTCCTCTTTTGTTGCGGTTCAAACTTTTTTTTATTGTGTATATACGCCCTCGCTTATTAGAATCCAAACAGAACCTTAAGGAGTTTTTTTCAAGGAATAATGGTTTTCATACACTGGTGATGGTAAAACAAATTAGTTTGAAATCGTGAGCAAAGCGAGTAAACTAATTCTTTTTACCACTACAGCCACTCTTTTCTCCACTTCTATCTTCCACAATTCTATTTTTTATTTTTTGATAATTATTTTCTTTTATAAAATCAAATAAATTTTAAAATTTACTTTATTTATTTTCCGTCAAATAACTTATATTCTCATTCCATTTCTCTTACCGATTTTATAAAAAATATAAATTAAATAGTTTAACAAAATCAAGCACGATTATAATTTTTTTATTTAGACTAACATTATTTTACAAGTTTCAATTAGATAATAATATGTCATAAAGTTTTATAAATTAAAAGAAACATAATCAACTTAATTTGTTATTATAATAATTAAAATTTATAATTATTAGAATTTTATAATAATCAACTTAATTTGTTATTATAATAATTAAAATTTATAATTATTAGAATTTTATAATAGATTAAAAACATTAAATACATTTTGACTATTTTTATGAGAAAAACTTTGGAATTTAAATATAAAACAATGAAAGAGAAAGAATTGTAAAATAAGAAAATAAAAACAGAAACAAAATTATGTTTTTTTATTATTTTAAATTGATTGAATATAAATAAATATTTTTATATTAATTTAAAATCAAATTAATATAAAAAATTATTATCTCACAACTTATGAAAATGAATTAGAATGGTCATAAAATATTTTTACGCTAGTAAAAAAATTAGAATAATTATGTGGAATGATAAAAGTTAATTAAAATTACTCTATTTAAAAACAATAATAGTAGATAATACATATAAATTTAAAATAAGATAACAAGTTTAAAAGTATAGGAAAAGATGATTGAAAACAAGAAAGTGTCCCGAAAAGTAATGAAATATAAATCCATGTCTAATTACCATGAAATAAGAAAAAATTAAAGACATCACAATTTTTTTTATTAAATACCTAATAATTTAAATATAAAAATTTCATTATAATATTTTTTAAATTAATTTATAAATTATAATTTAAATTGAACTTTAATTAATTGTTAAAATTCAAACTATAAATTATTTAACTAATAAAATCATATATATATATATATAGAGAGATAATCTATATTATTAAAATAATATTTTAATTCATAAATAGTTCTTATAAACCATTATATATTTAATATTAAAAATAACTGCTAAAAGTAGGTACGCATTACAGGAATATTAAAAGTTTACTTTTTGTATTTATGCAGTTTGTGGTCTCAGCACTATCTGTGTTCGTGGTTGACCAACCAAATCAAATATCTTTACATGCATTTATATAGTCACTTTTCAGGTTTGTAACTTGAAGAAAAAAAAAATGAATGTTTTTACGCAACGTTGGAAGGCTTTCAAATGTAAAAATACCAACCATGTCTTTTTCAGAAGCTTCTGATTCTGTGGCTTTTGTAGCAATTTTTTTATACAGAAGCAAGATAACATCTTGCCATTTGACCTTGGTGAGACGAGCTTTCAGAATAATTTTAAGTCTTTAGAATTTCATAGGAGCAACTTTTTTTGATCGACCATTCCTTGTCAAACTTTTTTCTTTGTTATTGAACTTCATAAAAAAATATTACTTTATACTGATCTTCTATAGATTTTTAGTAATCTTGATTTAGTAAAAAAAATATACTTTTATATATATATATATATATATATATATATATATATATATATATTATAATGTTTTTATGTTATCATTTGATGTGAAATATTTTACCACACTTTATCATATTCACTTTATAAATGATTTTTTTTTCATATACCTTCTTATATTAAAAAAAAATTATAATATATTTTTAATAATGAGTGATTTAAATATTTGTTTGATAATGGGTAGTTAAGATTATTATTAACAATTATTATCCTGATAATAAGTAATTAAGTCCATCATTATTAATATTATTGTTTCAAAAACTTGAAAATTGATTCGAATATTATAACGATCCTATAAATCGTTACTATAATGATGTCTTCGCAAAATAGTAAACAAGTAAATAATAATATCTATCTTACATTATATTACTTGTAATTGTAACATAGATTGAAATTCCGATTCACTAACTGAACCTCAAAATATAATAATATAATTTATTTATATATTATACATGTAAAAGTAGCTCCCTCGAAGCTATCCCACTGAACTATCCCTGTTGTCTAGTAGTCACATCTCCATCTCTCAATTCCTAATCTGCTCCCACATAAAAGTGATCATCGCAGTCTCATCCACATGAAAAAATAGGGGTAAGTATTAAATCATTCGATATAATAAAACATATATAGAAGTAATAATTATATATTATGATCAATTACAAAATCATCAACACACTAAGACACATTCCGGAAGTATACCTTAACTATGCCCGAACTCAGAGGTTATCATCTGTGGGCACATTATGATCGACACCCGCAGTACCATTCTGACCACCCTCCACATGGAGTAGGATTATTGGCGCCCTTCATCACTCATACTGGAGTACCCCTCCGAGCGTGCCACCAGTCATCCCCATCGACTTCTCACCACCTGATCTCGTAGTCTACCTGACCCGACCAATCAGTGAAGTCTAGGACCTCATTCAGAATCCTCCGACATAGTTATTACACTAATGTACTCTGTACCACCCCGGGTACCATTCAAACACAACAAAAATCATTCACATATGCCAAATTCTGGACCACTTGTCCTCACGGTTCATTTGGTCAATAAATAATAGTATTTGACTGATTTTGGGCACCAACCCTTCTGCTCAGTCTAGCCAATATATAGTCTCATGACTGATTCTGGGCATCAGCCCTTAGGCTTAGTCTGACCCACACACGTCACAACACACTGCTGATTCTTTAGAATTGCTACTTTCATTCTATATATATATATATATATATATATATATATATATTTCCGAAATTATTTTCGAAATCATTTCCAAAATCATTTCCAAAATCATTAAATTACTATTTTACCCTTAATCTTTTCTTAAAATTTCATGTATGTTCCTAAATGACTATTTTACCCTTGGACATTTCTAAAAATTCCTTCCATATCTCGAAAATGACTATTTTACCCTTGAACATTTTCGAAAATTCCTTCCATGTCCCTTTCTTCTTCCTCGCGCAAGTAACACTATCAAATTTTGCAGATTTTAGCAGATTTCAAATTACTCAGTTTTAGACAACCAAACTAGTCTCAAATTCAAATAAAACATGAATTATATATAATTTAAGTTCAAAATAACAATTTTACCATATAATTCATTCTTAATTTTAAGAATTTCAAAAACTTTCAAACGGTGAACAGTTCGTCAGAATCAGAAATTCTTCAAAAACAGACATTCAAATAATTCATATCTCTACTCCTATTTCTTATTCACAGAGTACCCAATAATTCAATTCTATGAATGAATTAAACTTTCCTTTACCTGGTGTGGTATTTCTACCTGAAATTTTCCCACTTAATTCAATCTCTCTCCGTTTCACCAAATCCTGCACAAGTAGAGTCTCGTTGCTTGAAATTTAGACAAAAGAAGAAGGATGAGAGGGAGAATACTTGCTGATACCTTCTTCCCCTTTCTGTATGCGCATATATAAAAGAAGAATTTTACTGTGCAAAAGAAAAACTTCGAAGTTTTCTTGCACAATAATATTATTATAATATATAAAAAATCATATATCACAGGTATTATCTTAGAAATAATAATATCATTTATTTAATTTAATATTACAAAATCAATTCATTAAGATGAAAATTTTACTTGTATGTTATTATTATTATTATTTTGTTGTCATATCTCTACTCATGTACGTAAAAATAATGAAATATTTAAGTTAATCTTATCAAATTAACTCAATAAAATAAGAAGGATTATACTCATATATGTATATATATTGTAATCATATCCGTAAAACTTAAAAATAAAAACTACCAATACAAATTAATTATTTCAATATTTTTAAATTAGTATTTCTAAAAAGTCTTAAAAAATACATTAAATAAGTACATATCAAATTAAGAGTGACCTATAAACACCAAATTAAGAATATAAAAATATGTTAACAATCAACATTAAATCAGTATAAGTAGAATAAAAGAATCAATTTAGTAAATGTTTCGATATTTATGAATCAAATTGAGAATACTGACGTTGTTATATATGAAAATCTTTGAAAGTTAAATCCAGAAAAATTTTTAATTAGTTAACAATCGAAGAGAAAAAAAATCTATACTAATAACGTTGTGTTGAAAATTGTTATATTAAAATTGCCTCTTAGACTATGTATATTTTAACCTAAATTAAATACATGTGTCACAAAGTCGCAATCTTGGAGTAAACGAAACCCAACTTGGGCTTCTAGGTGGGTATGTGGGAAGATTGTGGAATATAAAAATGTTATTGTTGTCAATGTATGTTTTAGATTAAGGACACTTGTCATTATCAGGAAAGTGACTAATTCATATATAGCAAAATTTGTTGTTTCAAAATTGAAAGGATAACACTAGACAATGATTGGTGTTGTTCATCTTATTATTCATCAATTCTTATATTTCTCTCTCAATTTGATTATTAATTTGTTTTGGACCATTAAATATTTACAACTTACATCCAAATATAATACATAAGCACACATCATGTTATTTCAAACAATGATTTTAAAATAATTAGTCTTCACTCTCGCGTAACAATTTTCATGAGTGATTTATGTTGAATATATATTTTTTGAACTACTCTTAACAAATATTTTATTTCTGTATATATAAATATAAATTTATTAAACTTAATTTCTTTGACTATGTAGGAGGGTATCGTAGGTGGGTGGCAACGCCATCCTATCCAAAACAACTGATTAAATGAAAGAAATTTGCCTTGCCCTTTTATGGTAGCTTTTGAGCAGATTCAAGGGCCATTTTAAGGACAGTAATTATCTCTATATATATAGACGTATAGATATAGAGAGGGGACACAAAAAAGTGTGTCCGGAAAACTTTTCACAATTATCATGGGTTTTCATGTACTTCACTGTTTCTACTTTTCAGTCTTGTGTTTTACGATTTTTATTTCAGATAATTTTGTTTTGGTGGCATTAGTTAATTTATTAAATATTGTTGGGGAAGTTAATGAGATAAGGATCCATGACCTACAATAGTGATGGAGATAATGAAAGAGGGAATTGAACATGGCAAGGACTATTGTTTGTTTGAAGCACCAACATTTGGAGCTTGGAAATGTTGATGGGAAGGGAAACACAATGACTACCTGAATTAGTATACAAAAGAAGATCTCAACATTCATAACACTCATCTTTAATAATCAAATATGTATATGTTGAATGCATAAGTTAGTAGTTGAAACAGAGGTTTTTTTCTTTCTCCTTCTTCCTCTGTGTTTTATTTATTCTTTTTGTTTCAATTGTTAAATGAGTGTTTTTCATTGTTGCTGAATTTTTAGTTAGTGGAATGCAGAGAAAGCTTTGCAAGGTGATGAAGTGTAGGTTAATGGTGTTTAAGTGTTACTTAATTAATAATGTCTTATAATTGTGTTGCATGGTGACGAAGTATATAAATAAAACATGGTTGAAAAATAATATATTATTAAAAAATAATAAATGGATATAAAAAGATAAAAAAATATAAAAAGTATAAGAAATAAGAGATCAAATTTATAAATATATTTAATAATTATTAAGTTTAAGAGACCAAAATAATAAATATTAATATAAATTATAAAATTTGAAGAATAAACGTTTGAATATTAAAATCATCAAAATTTTGAGTTATAATCCTTATATTTTAAGAAAATGTCTATTACACATAAATTTACATGAAGTTTAGGTAACACTTAATTAAAAATAACTAATATTTGTGTGTCAGTTTAATACATAATTTTATACTGTACAAATTTAAAAGAAAAAAATTAAACATTTTCAAAAAAATTGATATTTGATATATCAATAGTCTAATAATTTAAGTTTCTTTCTAATTGTTAGTCTATGTTTCAAGCAAATGACTTATTTACTAGAGACTTGGAAATTAATAGAAATACTAATTAAATCAAACATGATCATTTACAGTAACATATGAATTTAATTAATTAATGTTAAATATAAATTTAATTCTAAAAAATTAACTATAAATAATTTACCATATATATATATATATATATATATAATCGAATAAAATTTATAAGGTTGTTAAAAAATAATAGGATTAAATAAATTTTTAACACGATTCATATTAATATTAGTACCTCTGATGTTCTAATTTTTTTATATCCAATATTTAAAATAATAAAAATTTGGTGGACGTGTTAATTTTATAAATATCTGATTAAAATAATTATATGCAAACAACATTATTAATTCAAGACTATAATATTTTAGGATCGAATTTACATGTTTATTGAATATTAAAGAAAAAAATATTAAAATTATTGAGTACAATAATTTTAATATGTTACAAAACAATAAAAATGTTTCATAACAAATTTTTTATAAAGAAAATAATTGGCCAAATAAAAATAACGTTTTTTTTTTATATATTTTCACCATAATTTACAATATAATTACTTAAATTATTAAATATATATTTAAGCACAGTATGTGAATAGTATCTTATTATAACAATTTTTATTGTGTAGTGAAACACAATTAATCCTGAAGAAAATTCTATAAAAAATTTTATTCGGATATCATTAACTTTATCTTTTATAACTTCATTCTACGTGGGTTGAGTGGAAGATAGCCACGTATCACTTGTTCTGTGTTCACAAAACACCTTTCTGTTTCAAAAAGATTCGCGGCATGATAAAGTCTTGGTAAAATTGTATCAAAATATATAAAAATATATTTAATTAAATATAATAATTTTATAATTAATTTGATCATTTTATTAAAAATAATTTATATATATAAAACGATGATAATAATAATAATTAAATAATGATAAAATGCAGTAAAAATATCCATAACACATACTTTTATTATATATAACTCCTTGATATCATTATTTGAATAAAACTCCTAATTGTAAATGACTGGCATATACATACTAAATATTAGTTTTTTTATTGTTGAAAATTTAAAATTATAAAATGAGTTAGTTTTCATAAAAATTTAAAATATAGTATTACTTGATTCTCAGAATATGTAATACTCACAAGAACTCTATAAATATATTTATGACATTGTAATCACACTTAAAATTTTTTATTTATTGATTGAATTAATATATCAATTTTAACTATTTTAATTATTTAAAACTAATAAAAATTATTAATAGATTTAATGATACTAACAACTAAATACTTTAGATAAATCTAATAATAAAGTTTATGTATGATAATTTAAATTTAATGTAAGAATTACATAGCACCAATAAAAATGAAGTAACTAATAAATTAAAATATTTTATATAAATAAAAAATTTAATTATGTCTTAATTAAGTCATACCTTTGTATTATGGCTTGTGCTTTACTTTTTTACAATGAGCAAAACCTAATTAGAATATGTACCTAACAATCTTAAGCTTTAAGCATAACTGATTAAGTCCTTACATAAAATTAATATTAAATTTTATTTACTTAATAAAAGTTAAGGATCTCTAACAAAATTTTGACAAAATCTCTTTTTGTGTTTTGACACTTTTCAACGTATAACACACAAAAGCATACATGAAATATTTCTATTCAGCAATGGAACATATCAATAGACAATACAATTCTTTATTTCTATATCCAATATATTCAACGAATAATGTGAAATGAGAAATGAAAATTTTAAAATATATTTTTAATTTTATTTGAATTTAACATTTAGTATCTCAAACTTTTAAAACTTTTCTTCAATCATCATCCATTGTTTTTACAATTATCTCATTATAAATTTATCTAGTCTAACAAAGAAAATTACGTTGGAATAGAAAAACACGGTGATAAGTATTCAAAATAATTAATAAAATTGAAAATAGATCAAAATTGATTTTTTTTTATAGGTTCAGTTTGATTTTCAATTTTATAATCAAGATCTAATCCAAACTAATATTATAATATTAAAATTAAAACATAAAATAGTATAGAGTTTTTATGTGTGAATGAACTATTAATTTTTTATAATTTAAAATATGTTTCGTTATCATTTAAATTGAATATAAGAACATATGAAATAAATCAAACTTATAAATATCACAATTAATTATATATTTTTATAATACATATTTTTTATTTAATAATTATTTTATTATAAAATATTTAATAATTTTACAATAAAAAACTACTGCAAACGAAATCATATTTAAATTTTATATTTTATCCTAATATTTTTGAAGATAGAATTGAATTAAATCCTATGACAAATATCTTATTTATGGAGTTTATGTTATTAGAGAAATATTCAACATTCACCCAGGCCCATCAAAAGAAAAAAAAAAACTTATAAAAAATTTCTACCATGACAGTTGTAATTGAATATATAAAAACCATTACTTTTGGGCGAGGTCCAGGTGTGTAGGAAGTAGGAATCAAATCAAAGAATCATATGATTATGATAGTATTATTACTTTCATCTCGTTATTTTATAGGAGATGGTACCAAATAACTATTTTTATATGTTTGTTATAACTTTTAAAATAATAAAAAAATCTAATTGTATTCGAAACTATTTCTAAAAATTCCAGTTATATATATATATTTTTTTATTTATGAACAAAACTAATCAATTTATGTTTTTCTTTTAATTTGTAAAATAACTATTAAGGACCAAATGTAAAATATCTATAAATATTTTAAATATCTAAAGTCAATTTTTTTAAGACTAAATATAAATTTAGTAAATTTTTATTGACTAGAAATATTTATTTTATATAATAATATAAAATATAATGTTGTTTGTCTAGGAATGTAGAGAAGTTTGGTGTATTATGTTATGATGGTTGGTGATGAGGGACCGAGTGAGCTGTAGAAGGACATATCTTTTTTGGAAAAAATGTTTAGGATAGATTATACTATCGTTTACCAGTACTTATTATTCCTTCAATATTCTATTTAATTTTAAAATATTGTTTTTATTTATTTCTAAAATAATCACTTGCTTAATGAATAAACAGATATAACATTCTAAATAGAAAAAAAAACTGTTTATTTTTAAAATAAACAAATTCGACAAAAATATATAAAAAAAATTCTTATCTATATAAAGGAGATTTTTTTAATAGTTTTAGTATTATCCATAAAGAAAAAAGTACTAACGTATAAAATATTATTATTATTTATAAAAGAAAATAAATAATATAAAAAATAGTTATTATGATTTATATATTTAAAAATTATTAAAAAAATATAATAGATTGAAAAAGAATATAATTAGATTGAAAATAAAAAAATTATATAAATTAATAATATAAAGAATATGAAGAGACAAGTGTTTACA